CAATTTAAACAAATAATTCGGCAGCAGAAATGACCTCAGTGGGTCCCAATAATACCAACATTTGCCTAAGCATGATTTCTAATATGAGTCACACCTCAATTTCTCTAACACATAAAATACAGGGAGAAATGTAAGTTAATTGACTATAAAGCTTTACAGAATCAACTGAGTCTCAATTTCTACGGTGCACGCCCACACGCCCGTCACCTAGCATGTGTGTCACCTCCAAACAATTCACATAACACGTATAATCAGGGTTCATACCCTCAGCTCCAAGATTAGAGATGTTACTTACCTCGAATAAGCCGAATCCAAATGTCGAGCAAGCTAAATAATGTTCCAGAAATTTCATTCTGCGCGTATCAACTTCTGAACAGCTCAAATCTAGTCACAATTAATTCGAGTCAGTCAACACAAATTATAGGAATTAATTCCATATCAAAATACTAATTTTTCCCACAAAATCCGAAATTACACTCAAAAATCGCCTGTGGGGCCCACGTCTCAAAACCCGATTAAAAGTTATAAAATATGAACGCTCGTTCAACCACGAGTCTAACCATACAAATTTTATCAAATTCCGATATCAACTCGACCCTCAAATTTTTAAATTAAACCAAGAGGGTTTTCCTAAATTTTTCAACTTAATTCACCAATTAAATACCATGAATTCGGGTAATTTGACCAATATTGAGTTAATAACACTTACCCCGTTATTTTTCTTGAAAATCTCCTGAAAATCGCCTCTTCCCGAGCTCTAAATCGTCAAAAATGGTCCCATTTTCAGAACTTAAAGTTTCTGTCCAGGCTTCTCTTCTTCGCGAACGCGGCCCTTGCCTAGCGTTCGCGAAGCATAAAAATGTGCTGCCATCAAATTTCTCTTCGCGTTCGCGAGACAGCCCACGCGAACGCGATGCACACTGAGCTTGACCTTTGCGAACGCAGCCCCTTCTACGCGAACGCGAAGCATAATCTCACACGCCTCACCAATAACCCTTCCGAAATGCATGGCTCCTTCCGCAAACGTGAAGGCTAAAATTTCCCAGGCCAAGTTTTCTCTTCGCGAATGCGATCTTCCAGTCGCGAACGCGTAGCCTTACCTTCTTACATTGTGCGAACGCGAGGCCCCTGTCAAGAACGCGTAGCACAAAGATCAGTACCCAACAAATCCTTCTTCGCGAACGCGTGAACTCCTTCGCGTTTGCAAAGAACAAACCACGCACCAGACATCAGCAGTAGCAAAACAAGGATAAATGGGCCATAACCACTCTGAATCACACCCGAATCCCTCGGGACCTCAACCAAACATACCAACAAGTCCCAAAACATTATACGAACTTAGTCGAAACCTCAAATCACATCAAACAACGCTAAACCCACGAATCATACCCCAATTCAATCTTAACAAACTAACAAATTCTAACTTCTACATTCAATGCCGAAACCTATCAAACTCAAGTCTGATTGACCTCAAATTTTGCGTACAAGTCATAAATGACATAATAAAGCTATTCCAATTTCCAGAATCGTATTCCTAATTTAACTACGGACTTCCAAATTATTTTTCGGACACGCTCCTAATTCTAAAATCACCATACGGAGCTATTAGAATCATCAAAATTTTATTTCGGAGTAGTTTACACATAAATCAACATCCGCTAAACTATTTCGACTTAAGCTTTAAACCTTGGAACTAAGTGTTCCAATTCATTCCAAAACCTCACCAGACCCGAACCAATTTCCCCGGCAAGTCACATAATAACTGTAAAACATAAATTGAGCAGTAAATGGGGGAACAGAGTTGTAATACTCAAAACGACCAGTCGGGTCGTTACAATAACGCATCAATTATATGCACTATGCATAAACATGAACGAGATTCCTTTCGCTTTCAAAATACTTTGGTCATTTTTAAAATCCGACAACTCTTCTTACATGTTATGACACAAAAGTCCATTTTTCTTTCTTGTTTGAAAGCAAGGATTAAAGGCACTTACTAGCCAATCATAATACTGATATTTAAAAACACTTATTAGCCACTTAATACAATCACCTAAAAAGTACTATTAGCTACTTAAACTTAATGCTATCACTTAAAGACACTTATTAGCCACTTAGGGGTTATTTGATACTCTCTCCGATTCATAATAAGTGATTTTTTAACTTTTGGTACACCCTTTAAGAATAGCAAATTATGGCGTTAACAATATCATGATTTTTAATACATGAATAAACATGTATAAAGACATAAATATGCTTCTAAGCCCTTTTCAAATCCTTTCCAAAGAATGTGGAAGGTAGTTTTGTATATAAATATTTTTTTAAAAAAATTATTCAATGCATGTTATTTTTAATACACTAAAACCAACCAGTCGATAAAAAATAATTTCAGCATAACTAATCTTAACCGGTTGATTTTGGTGTATTAAAAATAATATGCATTGGATAATCTTTAAATATCAGTATTATGATTGGCTAGTAAGTGCCTTTAATCCTTGCTTTCAAACAAGAAAGAAAAATGGACTTTGGTGCCATAACATGTACGAAGAGTTGTCAGATTTTAAAAATGACCAAAGTATTTTGAAAGCGAAAGAAATCTCGTTCATGTTTATGCATAGCGCATATAATTGATGCGCTATGCAGTCAATTATTATGGCTACAAATACTGAGTATAGCACATATATTATATGCGCTATATTTTAACGGGGTAACTCGCCGTTAAGGTATAGCGCATCTTTTAGATGCGTTATACATAATATGGTCATCTAACACTTTTTTCCACCTATTTTTGAATAAACCAATAACATAGCTTTCATACCTTTATATATTTTGCCACAAAGCACTTACCAACAAGTTCAGATTGCGAAAGTTAAACATGTACTGCTGGTTCTAAAACTGTATAGCTTTTTGGTATCAAGAATTTTCTGGTTATATGAGAAAAATACAAAAGGTCAACCCGCTATGCGTGAAGTCCGGGGAAGAAAATACAAGGATGACCAAACATCCAAGATTTCACGGCTCTTTCCAGCATAGTTAGATATACCTAAAAGCCAAATTCATATTGACTTCATAAATGCACAGGAGTTTCTACGAAAGCAACCAAAATCATTTTTGATCACAAAGGAACAAGCATACAACAAATTGACCAATTCAATCTTTACAAGCAAAGGGGTTAGGCAAATCAAAAACTTAGTTATAGACCTTTACATATTGTGTTACATGGCACTTCTTTTGGTTATGACGGTGGTGTATAGCCAGTTTGGGCGTACCTCGACTATTCTCACCAGCACATACACTTTATCAAGAATACCTGTTATCGTGTTACAAGGCACTTTACCAAGAAGTTTACAAGGTTGACAGTTAGATATGTCCTGCTGGTTCTAAAAGAGTATTGCTTGACATCAAGAATCTTTGCTAAAGAAGAATTTAACTGTTTATTTCAAATGTCTTCCAAAAACCTCTTCTCCTTCCTCTTTCTACTTGTTCTTCCGTTTTCGAGTTCTTCTGATGCAACAGCTTGGATAAAATCTGGGTTCTGGTATGCTGGCAGTGAGTTTCCAGTTCCTGAAATTCCTTCTACTATGTTCACACACATTCACTTTGCCTTTGCATATATTAACGCTTCAAGTTTTGAGCTTTACGTATCTCACTCAGATGAACCGTATATCTCTACCTTCTCAAACACTGTGAAGCAAAAGAATCCCTCAGTTATCACACTTCTATCCATCTGGGGAGGAAGAGATGAGTCCCCTAACTTTTTCGCGATGACTAGCCAGTTTTCTCGTAGGAAATCTTTCATCACAACGTCAATAAAAACTGCTCGACAATATGGATTTCAAGGGCTGGATCTTATTGGTGTCAACCCGAACACAGATGCAAACATGACTAATATGAGATCATTCATTGAAGAGTGGCGGACAGCGATTAATTCTGAGTCCAAGAGTTCTGGTACAAGAACACTGATCTTGACTATGGGAGCATACTACTCACCTATGCTAGATTCTATGTCCTACCCAATAGATACAATTATCAGAAACTTTGATTGGGTTCATCTCAAAGCATATGACTACTACTTACCTACAAAAGATAATTTTACAGCACCACATGCAGCTTTATATGACCCTACTAGCAAACTAAATACAGACTATGGTATAAAGGAATGGATCAAGAGAGGATTACCAGCCAATAAAATAGTTCTAGGTTTGGCATACCATGGTTATGCATGGACACTTGTGAATCCAAAACATAACACGGTACGCACACCTGCAAGAGGTTTGGCAATAACACAAGACGGATCAATTAGCTACAGATACATCAAGCAGTATATGAAAAGTTATGGAGTCACACCAGTCTATAATTCCACATTTGTTGTGAACTATGTCACCATTGGATCATTTTGGATTGGTTATGATGATGTCGAGGCTATTAGAACTAAAGTTTCTTATGCGAAGGATAAGGGGCTTCTTGGTTTTGCTGCATTCCAAATACCAAGTGATGATGTCAATTGGGAGCTGTCAAAAACAGGTTTAAATCATAGAGAGCTTTGCTACCATTTCAAGATTCACCAACTCCTATACACTCAGCTCTATCAACTAATGTTTTTTTCACAAATTAATACTAACTTTCTTTACAGCTCAGGACGAAGAAGAAGAAGATCAAAGCGGCAGCAACCGAAGGTTACTGGCAATTCTTCTGCCAACGCTCACCCTCACCATTCTCCTACTAAGTACAATAGTGTTTATCTTGAAAAAGAAAACCTTAAGATCTGAAGGTAACTAATTCAACCCCTTGTCACTATTTCTTTTAACTGACCAACCAGAATATACTGGAATCGAAAAGCTTTCCTTTGATTATAGGGATCAGGGAATTGAATGAAAGAGCTATAGGTCATAACCTAAAAGTTTTCAAATTTGACAAAATAAAAGCAGCTACAGACAATTTCTCCATTAAAAACAAGCTGGGAGAAGGAGGATTTGGACCTGTTTATAAGGTATTATGTTGACAACCCAACATTTGCTTCTTTTTAGTTTTTGTGAAGATAATGAGAAAACCCTGAGGTCCAGTGGACCACTGTTCGAAACTAGGTGGATGACCGGCCTGCCTTCTACCTTCTCCACTTAAATACCAGACTTTTGTTTGTGGCATGGTTCAAACCTGTGATGAATGCCTAAACCACGCAAGCACACATCACAAGCTGGCTCTTACCACTAGAGCAAAGCTCTACTAGGGCAACTTTTGCTTTATCCTTTTACAAGTGTTTCGAATTATAAGTCGTAGTGCTAGGTGGCCATGAGATCAGAGAATCCTAAGCATAATATATCAGAAGTACAGAAACAAGTACGGCAGGGAAATGGAATTACCACCTTGGTAGCATTCAAAAATAACCATAATCATTTAAGAAAACAAAAGACTCTAAAAAGTAACAAGTCCCTAGTTAGTGCATAACATACCTTTTAACTACCTTCAATTGTTATCGGTAAAGTCCTTGGAAGAAGCCAAAACTTTTGTTTGTTTGTTTTCATTCACTTCACTGAAACAGAAAAGAGTAAAAACAGTGGAGTCCAATTCGTAAAAGCAGTCATCAAGCAAAATGAGATGAAAAAGAACAGTTTTAAAATGACTTCCTATTGATGCATCAAAATCATCGTTTGGAGCATACAAATAGAAAAATTAAGCTAATCTTATGCACTTTTAGCACTCAATGTGTATTGTCACCACTTCTCCAAGCAAATACCTGAGATACTTTGTGCAGTTGGACAAGATGTGAAAAAAGCTTTACACGGTAAGTGGGAAGATAGCCTTATGACCAGTTTAGATAGTAATCATACTCCCTATTTTCCCAGGGAAGGTTAAGTGATGGGCAAGAAATTGCAATAAAACGGCTTTCAGCATACTCTAAGCAAGGAGTAGAAGAGTTCCAGAATGAGGTCACACTTGCTTCAAAGTTACAGCATGTCAATGTTCTACAACTTCAGGGATGTTGCACTGAAAGAGAAGAGAAGATACTGATTTATGAGTACATGCCAAATAAAAGTTTGGATTTCTACCTTTACGGTGTGTAAACTCTTACTTCATTACAAAATTATATTGAATCCAGAAAATCTTGGCATATAACAAATTACACCATGTACACAACATCTAGTCAACAAAATGTGTAATAGCACTTCATATGGTAATCCAAGATCTTAAGGCATATGATCATCTATATGCCACATGTCCAATAAGTCATTATGTGATGCAGATCCAGTACAGAGCCTGCAGTTAGATTGGGAGACGCGGGTTCGTATTATAGAAGGAGTTACTCAAGGACTTCTATACCTACAAGAGTACTCAGCATTCACAGTCATTCACAGAGACTTGAAAGCTAGCAACATTTTACTGGACGATGAGATGAAACCGAAAATCTCAGATTTTGGTATAGCTAAACTTTTCCAGAAAGATGAAAAGGAAGCAAACACCGGAAGGATTGTCGGGACCTAGTAAATATCATGACTCTTAACCACTGTTACTTACTTAATACTCCTACCTCCTAACATTGCAGCTTGTGTTCTGTAGTGGTTGTGTTCCTCCAGAGTACGTTAAGCGAGGTCTATACTCCAGGAAATATGACGTTTACAGTTTTGGAGTTTTATTGTTGCAAATCCTTGGCGGAAAGAAGAATTCAAGTGAATATGGAATCAAGAACGATCTGAATCTTCTAGAATATGTAAGTCTTTGCCGTCTTATCTAACTAGTTCAATCTCAAAAGTTTCTACGTGGAAACTAAGCTAATACGATCAATATTCAGGCATATGAACTTTGGGAAAAAGGCAATGGAGTGGATTTTCTTGATCTGTCACTGCAAGATGATTCTCGAATAGGCAAGCAACTGAGATACATGCAAGCTGCACTATTGTGTGTCCAAGAAAAATGGGAAGACCGACCATCGATGTTGGAGGTGTACTCCATGCTCAAAAATGAAACTGAGGTCTTGCCCAATCCTAAAGTTCCTGCCTTTTCCAAGAATAAAGACAATGACACACAAGAGACTTTAGTCACACCTGACCTTACTTGTTCGGATAATAGTCTCACTATATCCCAACTTATAGCCCGTTAACACTTCAAAGTTTCAGGGAGCATTTTAATCTCACAAATGGTCTTTTTGCCTCTGTTTCTTTACTTGGTCTCCGGAATCCCGTAGAGCAAGTTACTGTCGTATACAATACATCACCCAGTCACAATTAGCAACTTTTTAAATAATTTTCCTTGGATGAAGGAAAATTGTTTAAGTAGTGAATTGAAGTATGACTAAAGTAGAGTCTAACATGTGATAGCCTATCAAGGAAATTCCCACAAGTTAACAAGTTAGATGCCAAGCCCGGTCTTCTTAAATTAATTGATCCAGCAACGACACTAAAACATTGCCACAGACTGAAGTATACTCAATGATTAACAAAGATCATTTTCAAAAATCCATGAGTAATTCTCCAGTACAGAGTTGGTTTATGACTTTGTGAAGTAATTTAAATACATGCGCGCGCACACATGTTATTGAGGCGAGAAAAAAATCTAAAAGATCCAAACTCTAGAAAAGCTAGTAGTTTTCGTAAGAAAGTAGTTTAAATACATGTCCGTTGTTATAGATTGAAGCATGTATTGGGCTCTAATTCTTTTTGATTGTTAAAAGGAAGTAGATAAATTTCAGCAACAACAGTGTGCTGGCAAGTAATTACAAGATGGATACAATTAAGAAATGTGTAATGAGCTAAGAAAGTCAATCATGGCACCTATGTCATTTATTATAGCCGTGTTACACCAAAAGAATTGAGAAGATATTCATCTTATTGGGCTCTAATTCTTCTACCATAAACTCAAGAACCTGTTTTAATGGTCAGTATGATTTTTATGGTGGCTCTAATTCTTCTGCCATATAAAATTTACCAACCATTAACACAGGTTCTTGAGTTTTGAACTAGCACGTTTACCAATCTGGGTCGGGAAATTAGTTTCTGGTAACAATTTTAAAGAATCTCAAACATGAAACTCCAGGTTGAGATAAGTTAATACGCTTTTCGCATAACTCAGCTTACAGCTGCTTTAGTTGATAGCTTAATTAACTTTTTGTTTAATGTTCCAAATAATCTTACGCCGCTCTTAGGAAAACCCCATCAAATGGTGACTGGGGGAGGAATTGGAAATCAGCATTCCCTCAACATAGCTCTATTTAGCTCAGACTCCTTTAACCCTGGTGTTCATGGTTATTCCTATTTTCTAAACAATGACAAATCTAATTAACTGGCAATATTTGTGCCCGTGCATTTTGTGTTGCCCTAAATGGAATGACTCTTATTACGTTGCGCCCCGACCCTGAGTCCCCATGTTCGCTTTTCCTGACTCGCAACCCATTTAGTTGGCAAAGCCAACAAGACTAGGAACATTCCCTTCATTCTATGCTTTTCTTGTTTCCACAGCGCTCTCTTTCACTGATTGAACTTTCAGTAGCAGGCAAATTGCCTCAAGATAGTGCAGGAGATGATAATTCTTTAGCTGGCGCTCGTTCATGTAAACGTATCTTGATACTGGTGTAGATCGGAGGTGGATATTCAAGTTCTAGTAGAGTTTTACTGTATTTTAAAAAATCAAATCACATTTACTAACCATATTATACACATATCCATATTATACATTCAAGGCAAATGAAGAGTACAAATGCATACCTGCTTAGTATGTCCATTTCCTCTTTCCCATTCGTATGCAAGAGAATTCATTTTGTTCTTTTGTTTTTCAATTAGCAACTTAAGTAAGAGAAATTTTAAACAGAGAGTTTCAATGCTTTAATTTCCAACACCAAACGACACAATTGTTCTTAAAAATTGAACACAAGGATAAGCTCAATACACTATCTGAATGCACTTTTGAAACTGAAATTTCACAACACTAATCAATATTTCTAAAGCAAGAAGCTTTTAACTTACACACTATTAGAAATTGGAAACTGACCTCAGGTTAGAGAGTTCAACTGAATAAGATTGAGTTAAAAAGCAAAAACCCACGAAAATGGAGCTCTGAAGAAATGGGAAGAAAAAATTTTGGACCATTTCTCGATTTGTGCTTGTCATCCTTGCGCAGGGGTCATGCTAATCTTCTCTGTATCATTCCAATTTTGTCTGATGTCCCGGAAGGGACGAACACAGGTGTGAAGGTTTCTGCACATAAACAGATGAGAGCTTAGTATACATCAGCCAGTCACAATTGCCAACTTCTTTCATAATTTTCTTTTGATGAAGGAAAATTGGTTAATTAGTGAATTGAAGTATGACGAAAGTGGAGTCATGAAAGATTATGCAGTAGAGTCCAACACGTGATTGCCTATCTAGGAAATTCCCACATTTTACAAGTTAAATGCCAATCCTAGTCTTCTTAAATTAATGGATTCCATAAGGACATCAAAACATTGCCGCAGATTGAGATTCTTTTTTTTTTAGAAGATAGACTGAAATATACACACTGATTAACAAAGATCATTTTCACAAACGCACGAGTAATTCTCCAGTACAGAACTGGTTTATGCTTTGTGAAGTAGTTTAATCATATGCGCGTGCATATGCACATTATTGAGGGGAAAAAAGAAATTTAACAAAAGTTCCAAGCTCCAGTATTGTTAGAAGTTTCCATAAATCCCTTTTTATATATGGATGCATGTATTGGGCTCTAATTCTTGTCCCATAAAACGACTATAAACCATTAACACAGTATTTTGTGTTTTGAACTAGCACATATACCAAACTGGGTCGGGAAAATAGTTTCTGGTAACATTTTGAAGAATCTCAAACATGAATGATGAAACTCCAGGTTGAGATTAAGTTAATAAACTTTTTGCATAACTCTGCTTACAACTGTTGTGGTTGATAGCTTAAATAACTCCTTGTTTAATGTTCCAGATAATCCTAAGCTGCTCGAAGGAAACTCCCATCAATCAGTGACGGGGAGGAATTGGAAGATCAGAATTCCCTCTACATAGCTCTATTTAGCTCAGCCTCCTTTAACACTGGTGCTCATGGTTCTTCCAATTTTCTGGACCGCGACATACCTAATGAGAACTGGCAATGTTCGTGCCCGTGCATTCTTTCTTGCCCTAAATGAAATGGCTCTCTTAGTTATGTGGCACCAAGACCAGCGACCTGCACTTTTCCTGACTCGCAACCCATTAAGTTGGCTGCCAACAAGACTAGGACGTTCCCTTCAATCTATGCTAACCCCAGCCCAAGATGGCTTCTTGGAAAGCATGTCTCGACTGGCTTCCATTCAGCTATCAAAGTTCCAGTCGAGCTCTCTTCCACTGATTGTAACAGCCATTTTGCCTCAAAATAGTGCAAGAATGATACTTCTTCAGCTGGCCCTCATTCGTGTAGAAGTATCGTGCAGATCAGAAGTGGATATTCAAGTTGTAAAGTTCTACTGTATTTTTAAGGAATCAAATCAATTTACATAACCATGTATATCCATTTGACATAGGTTGTTCAAAGCATATGCATATAACTTGCTTAGTATATTCCTTTCCTCTTTCCCATTTGTATGCAATTTGCCTAAACTTAAGCAAACAATTGAAATTAAACAGAAGTTTCACTGCTTTAATTTCGAACATCAAACACAAATATTCTTCCAAAATTGAACACATCCTTCTGATTAACTATAAAATTAAATGGTCAAAACACTAATTAACCCAAAGAAATCTCTCATCATTAATTCAAAAGCAAGATATGAAAACTGACCTCGGCTTAAAGATTTCAACAATTTGGACCATTTCTCCGTATCGTTCCACTTTTATCGGATGTTTCCAAACGGACAAACTTTGTTAGGTTTTTGATAGATAAACTGAAGAACGTTTCTTTCCTTCGCCGATGAGGGAGAAATTAACTAGCTAGTTGGGACGGGACTGGACTGCCTAGTTGTGACTGGGCTTAACTATAATGGGCCGGTCTGACAAACTTCTTTTCTTGAGATTTTACTACTAGGAATATTATAAAGGAAAAATTACCGGGTGTAGCTAAAGTATACACTCTATTTATTATTCGTAGTTATACTTTTAGAAAAATTATTATTCGTAGCTATATTTAAATTTTATAGAAAAATCACCTGTCTTTCTGTGTTTCGAGGGAAGAATTTTCTAGCAAATCTCTGTATTTCTGTATTTCGCATTATACCATATATGTATTTTTTCAGGTATGGAATGTCTTTTTTTTTTGCACCATGTATATTTGACTATATTTTTGTAGTTATGTACCGATGTATACACCTCTGTATTTTTGTTGTTTGTATTTTTGTATACACCCCAATATTTCTGTATTTCGCTGTGATTGTATTCATTGATCGAATAAATACAGTAGATACAGGTTGTATTTGTTGCCCGAATTGATACAATTTACGCAGAGCTATATACATTGCGCGAACGAATGCAATGAATGCAAACGCCTGGCAAGGAAATATTTGCTATTACCGGTAAATATTGAAATAATAGCGGCGAATTATAATTAGCTATAAGACTCTAGTGCTCTCTGAAATTTCGTCTATAAAATATCAAGTCCTTTTTTCACAAGCTCAAATCTCAATATTAGGTTTATTTCCAACTTTTTTCTTACTTTAGAGGAGAGACCAAGTGGAAAGTATGTTTAACCCACAAAATCGTCTATGTGCCAAACGTATTATACCGTGAGACAAGTTTTTAGTAACAAAGCTTTAGATTCATCGGACCAACAACGTTAAAATCCCCGATAGTCAGCTATATAGTAATAACAATTTTTTCCTTAAACAAGTTGAGATATGTAACGATTCGACCGGTCGTTTTAAGTATTATAAACTCATTCCTCCAATTTACTGCTCAATTTTATGCTTTACAGTTATTTTATGACTTACCAGGTCAGTTGGTTCGGGTCCGGAAAAAATTCAGAGTGAAATGAGATACTTAGTCTCATAATTGAAAATTTAAGTTAGAAAAGTTGACCGGATGTGGACTTATGCGTAAACGATCTCGGATTTAAATTTTGATGATTCCAATAGCTCCGTATGGTGATTTTGGACTAAGGAGCGTGTCCGAAAAATTATTTGGAAGTCCGTAGTTAAATTAGGCTTGAAATGGCTAAGATAAGAATTTAAGTTTGGAAGTTTGACTGGGGAGTTGACTTTTTGATATCGGGGTCGGAATCCAGTTCAGAAAATTTTCATAGCTCCGTTATGTTATTTATGACTTGTGTGCAAAATTTGAGGTCAATCGGACTTGATTTGATAGGTTTCGGCATCGAATGTAGAAGTTGAAAATTCTTAAATTTCATTAAGCTTGAATTGGGATGTGATTCGTGGTTTTAGTATCGTTTTATGTGATTTGAGGTTTCAAATAAGTTCGTATGATATTTTAGGACTTGTTGGTATATTTGGTTGAGGTCTCGAGGGCCTCGGGTGAGTTTCAGATGGTTAACGGATCAAAAGTTGGACTAAAACAGCTGCTGTAATTTTTCTTCTGCTGGAAATTTGGGGAGCCCAGAAATCAAGCCAAGAAATCGAGCCGAGGATCGAGGGCCATGATCGAAGGCCAGGATCGAGGGCCATGATCGACAGCCAAGATCGAGGGCCAGGATCGAGGGCTAGGATCGAGGGCCAAGATCGAGGGCCAGGATCGAGGCCCAGGATCGAGAGCCATGATCGAGGCCCAGGATCGAGGACCATGATCGAGGCAAGACCGAGGGTTGCCTGGAGAAAATTATAAAGCAGGGGACTTCGTCCCATTCGCCATTTTTGAAAAATTGGAGCTTGAGGAGAGGCGATTTTTGATAGATTTTCAAGAAAAAATATTGTGGTAGGTGATTCTAACTCGGATTTGGTCAATATACACGAATATATCATTATTTTCACCATTTAATTAGTGTTTTGAGATTGATAAGGAAAATTTTAGAAATCTCATAGAAACGAATTTTTGAGATTTCGGTGTCGATTCGGAGTCGGATTTGAGTGAAACTGGTATGGTTGGACACGTAATTAAATGAGTTATCGGATTTTGTAACTTTTGTCGGGTTCCGAGATGTAGGCCCCACGGGCGATTTTTGAGCTAAATTTCGGATTTTTATGGAAAATTAGCATTTTCTTATGGAATTAATTCCGATAAATTTTATTGACTGAATCGAATTATTTGTGGCTAGATTCGAGGAGTTTGGAGGCCAATTCACGAGGCAAATGCTTAGCGGAATAAGAATTTCACGGTTTGAAGTAAGTAATAGTTTTAAATCTGGTCCTGAGGGTACGAAACCCCGAATTTTTGTGTTATGTGATTATTTTGGAGGTGACAGGCGTGTGGGCGTGTACCGAGGGGATTGTGACTTGGTCCGTCCCGTAAAATTGTAAGGTTGAATAACTTGTTGTTAGCTATATGCTCTCTATGTGTTAAAGAAATTTGACTATAAATCATGCTTAGGCTATGTGATAGTACTGTTGGGATCCGCAAAGGTCGCGTACTTATTGAATTATTTGCTAATTGTTGTCTTGTACTCAGTCATGATTTTACATGCGTATCATACCTCAGTTTTTCTTGATATTTGTTGATACGCTATGTTATCTTTGTTTGGGCTGATCTTTGTGATTTTCGAAAGCCTGAGAGACTAGAGAGGTTGATGACTGAGTGAGGCCGGGGGCATGTCGGTGAGGTATGGATATTAAAGCGCGTGAATTGTTCGTGCAACACGTGAGTTGTCCGTGCAGCACGTAAGTTATCCGTGCAGGATATTATAGCACGTGAGTTATCCGTGCAGATTATAGCGCTTGGGCTGTAGGAGCCCCTCCGGAGTCTGTACATCCCCAGGGAGCGCGGGTACACATTGAGTGTGAGTGCTGAGGACTGGGAGCCCACTGAGGGATTGTTGTCCTGAGAGACTGTACTTGCTTTTCATTTGTTGTTGCACTTAGTTGCTATCTATCATTGTTGTGAAATTCTCTGAAAGATTTTATATCCGGATTACATGAACTTGAACTATATAAAACTGATTTGACTTAAACTGCTGGATTTGAAAGCATGTCTATTCTTTGCTGGAATTATTGGAAATGAACTATAACTGTGTAGCTTGTCACTATCTTCAGTTCCTTATTTATTATTGTTACTTGCTAAGTTAGTTGTACTCATACTACACCCTGCACTTCGTGTACAGATTCAGGTGTTCCCGGACATAGCGAGTGTTGATTCTTTCGCGCAGTGTTGAGGTAACTGACGTATTTTGCAGACCTTGTCTCTTCTTCCCTATCTCCTTGTTTACTGTATTTGGTCTTAAACTATTATAGATCGTATTTTTCCGACTTGTATTCATAGTAGATGCTCATGTACTCAGTGACACCAGGTTTTGGGAGTATTTATATTTGTACTTGTGAGATTTCTTCCGCTAAATTTAATCATTCTGCTCTCAAATTTAAAAAAATATGGAAATTTATTGAGATTGTCGACTTGCCTAGTATTGAGATATGCGCCATCACGACGGGTGAGATTTTTGGGTCGTGACAAGTAATATCACACAAAATGGTGGAAAGTAAAAATTTTTATTTACAAACCAAAGATATTTACAGCTCAAATCAAAATCAAAATCAAAACAAGAATTTGGATATCATGCCCCAAACACCTGTAAACATCTCCTACTCAAACCTACCGATCTGTTCTAATTGATAATTGCAGTATTTCCTAGGTAAAGTCTCATCCGCTTAAAATTACAACGATATATTTTTTATATTTATGTCTTAAATTCATCTTTGTATTATAAAATTTAAAATTCAAAATATGTGCTTCGAATTATTCGTGTTTTTTTAAATCAGCGAATCTAAATTAAAAAGGGAAGTTAGTTCATATCTCGATCTAAATGGAGGAACTACAAAACATGAAACTATTTAGTCCTTGCCAGAAACTATTTACATTTGGTATGTCGAAAAAGTGTATAAAATTTATATAATTTTTGTATATATATATATTTCAGCTATTATTTTAAAAGCGCATATACAATGACATTTTCCCATTATTTAATACCTTCATCCAAATGCTACGGCGATTTTTTTCTTATGTAGCCAACTACACGGTTGTACTAGATTTTGAAGAATTTTATGTTGAGATTAATTATGTCAATTTTTTTATATCGATTTTAAGTAAATTCAATAGTTTTCATAAGCTACATAGCTTAAATCAACTAGATGAATAAATTTTATTTCCTTGAGCGCATCTTCAGATATTTAAATCTTCTTCATGTTTGTGGGAGTTAATTTTTCAAATGGGCGAGTTGAACTGATTTTGGAGGGTCAAAATGAACTGAGCCAATAAATAGAATAGAAATAACATCGGGTAGCCACTATAAAGGGCTACTATTTAGGAATTAGCCTATGCGTCCTAAATTTCAGTTTTTCAGTTCAAATTTTTAGGACAAAAATGTCATGGATTGTCCTGAAGCTAAGAATTTTAGTCTAAAATTTCAGGACAACATAAGTGCTGGCTAATCTCTAAATAGCTGTCACGACCCAAAATTCTAACCTATCGTGATGATGCTTATCTCAGTACTAGGCAAGCCGACAACATCAATAACTCATGAGTTCCTTTAAGTTTGAAAACATAATGTTTAATACAATACCAAAAAACTAGCAAATTCCAATACAACACTCCCAAAACCTGGTGTCAGTGAGTACATGAGTATCTATACATTACAAGTTTGGGAAAAATCTGGTCTTTAATAATAATCTGAGACCAAATACAATAACAAAAGGATAGGGAAGGAGAGACAAGGTCTGCAAAACATGGCAGCTACCTCTGATTCTCTGGAAAATCGACTATGCAAAAGAATCAACACCCACTGTATCCGGGATCATCTAGATCTGCACACGAAGTGCAAGGTGTAGTATG